CTAAAAACACAGTCTAGACAACCGGTAAAAGAAAGATTTGACTGCCTTCGATAAGTTGCAACAACACTTGTTTTGGTGATTATCATCAACATGAGTAGTGTTCGGGATACGATTAGTGTAATTTCTATTGGAGATCAGTCATGCGGTTTCGATCCGCTGTGACAAACAGTATTAGAATTTTGAAAACAACCAAGGATCTTTTTTTCGACTTTGCCAAGCTGATACATATAAACAGAAGAACGATGACTTTAAACATCAAGGATATAGGTATGATTATTGGTGTATGTGTTTTTCTCCCTAACAGAACAATCCACACCTACACTCAAGCAAGAAGGCAATGTAACACGAAAGAATCAACTGAGAAAAGTAGAGATGATATGATTCGAATAAATCTTCTCTGTTTCAAACATGTTAACAGATAAAAGACTCTATTCATACAATTAATTGTCGTCATCTAGTACATTATTCAAATTCATTGTGGCCAGTTTCTTGGCTAGTTCAATAGCATATTCTTTTCCTCTGCCCATGTTCTCGTCGGAATTCGGCTCTATATTATCATACCATCTAGCAGGAATCCATTCCCAACCGTACAAAGCACCAATAATATCTCCGATAATCGCTGCCACAGTATCAGTGTCACCGCCCATATTCACACCGCGAATAAGACATTCTTCTGGTTCACGATAACCCGTACATACAATCCATAAGGCACATGGTACCGCTTCGATTGCTTTAAGTTGAAAAGTGTTACCCAATGCTCGTACCACATCGATATCCGCCCTACAAAGTACGATTGAAAATATGGTGACTTTACTTTCATGGCTGTTTCTAAGTCGATAGTTAATACGGTCTTAATACAGTTCAACTGATGAATATTCAATCACTTTTTTGTTTTAGTTTTAAATAATCAATTATCAAAACTAGCGAATATCTTATAGAAATCATGACAAGGCATCTTTTTTCATTAAGCAAAGGAAGTCTTAAAATCATTCTAGTTCAAAGTCGATCAACTTTTGTCAAAAGCATTGAATTTCAAATAACCTCAAAGCTTGGCTTTCATCCAATTTTTTTTTCGAGGCCGTCATGTAAAGTGAGAGTGCCAATTTTTCGATATTTTCATGGTAAACGATTCGGATACGTACTTTTTCTTTTGTGTGCTTGCCTCACTTGTACCATACTGGTTAGCGTAGAATATAATCAATTTTTTAATCTGATTTTGCATGTTATTCGTTCGTGCTGTCGATTGTAGGACACTGAGATATTGAGATGGATCAAAAGCATCAACAGATTCGCAACGAAGAGCCAAGATAATGCCTTTAGCCAAAATAAAGGCTCCGTCTATACCTTCAGGATGTACATGTGAAGAGATAATGGACATACGAACCGCTTCATAGAGTTGTTCATCGGATGCATCCCGAAAAGCGAGAGCGATGGGAGCTATTCGCATAGCTCCACCATTGGCAAACGATCCATCGGGAAAGTTAATACGTCCACATTCACGATAGTCTATCTTGCCATCAAGTACACACTATCAAAAGAAAAATCAATAGGATTAGCTCGAAGGAATTTCTCGAAATTAAAACTGGCATCAAGCCTATTTCTTATAAAAATCTAACCATATAAGTTCGACTTTACTTTCATTCATTCTCCTTATGATCTTATCCACTTTTTTTTTTATTCTTTCCACCAAAACAATGTATCATGGAATTCTTTACAATTGTATTGATTAACGTCAGCTTGTTAATAGTAAAAAAATATACAAAAGAATAAGTTGGAAACTCTTAAATGTTCACGTGTTTTGCGTCAAGCGTTAAATGGAGATGGTATTTGATAAGGCTGGAAAATCACTACCGTTTAGTTTGAATCGCATACAATGCCTATCACAATGTATAGTGCAGCAAAAACTTCCATTTTGTTAGATTTGCTACAAAGAGTTCTAGTTTTGAATTCAGCAGACCAAATGACGTACTCACTCTTTTTTGATAATGGTCGAGTCTCGAAATAGAATTTGAAACTAGCTATTTATGAGAGGTGAAAGATAACTCGTAGAATATGATGGTGGGTGACGATTTCTAATGAGGATCTTGATAGGATGTAGGCTTATAGCAACAGTTATTTGTTACGCAAGTAGTTAGAGCACTTTCAATATTTGTTTATAAAAGTATAATCACAATTCAACGAAGTCATGTAACAGCAATAAAACATCTTATTTTTGCAAGAGTCCGCAAAGAGAAGTGCTCGAAACAATTTCTGAGGATTCTATTCAATTTTGTATTTTTTCAGACAATCTAAATAATCTCATGTAACACATGCAGCAGAAAATAAACAATAAAGTATTATTTTTCAACAAAAAAGCAAGCATTTATCGACAAAGAAATAAACGCACTACTTAGTAGATAGACATTCAATATGAAAAGATAGAACTGATTAAGAAATGAAAGAAGATTTTTCGAGAATTCTTCGTAAAATCGTTGTTGCCCGAGAGCATCTTTTTTCGAGATCTTTCATTTCGACTCTCGCTGAAACATCTAAAGATTCACGCTAAGAAAATTGTTAAACTCGAAAAGGATCCATTTCACTGACCTTCATACTTGCTTGAGCTGAGTCAGGATAACCTCGCTTAATTCCAGTCGACCAAAATTCGGCGTAGGATTGTGCTGCATGTTTCGCTTTCAAGCCTCCATTCACAACAAGACTATGCGCTAGCGCGAGCATAGCATTTGTATCGTCCGTATACATATGAATACGAGGTCCAAGTTCTGGGATACCCATATGCGGTGCTGTTATATCGTCGCGCACTGTTCCAAACTCGCGTTTAATTCTAGCAGCTGAGTAGCCTTCAACGCCCGCACCTAGTTGATCTCCGATCATGTGACAAAGTAGACAACCAATGCAGCTGTCACTTAATGGAATGCTCATTTTCTTGTTGTTCACAAATTATATCAGAAAATCTGCAACAACTCGAGTCGTTAATTTCGTATGAAAGTATGGTACAGAATAAATCAAGCTGATATTCTATGCGACGCGACTTTTAAACACAAATATTATGAGACGTGCACATTATGAATGAATTGATGGAAATACTATCTTTGAAAGTCAAGAGAAACGAACATGAGTAAGTGCACACGAGTCAAGATATAGGCAGACAAGGAGAAAGAAATGGTTCGAGTAAATAAAAAAACAACGACGAATCGGAAGACAAGACGAAAGAGGGCGTGCATATTTAACCCAAGACAGGTCAAGAAAGATAGTCTTCTAGTGAGAAAAACTGCATCGTGTTATTGGACGACAACTTCTGATGCTATGTCAATCAAGAACTAGTGACCAATGGAGAATGCATTTTCGTTTTGTGGTCAGTCTCTTGGCCACTATACGATATAATTTCATCTCTTAATACACTGACTTCATCAATTAAATCGATTTATTCTATAACTGTAAATGTGGGTGTAGAGGAATAAAGAAAGCTTGCGAACAAAATGAAGCTTTGACTGTTCTTCCTGAGAATCGAATTTTCAAAAATTTTGTTGAGGATTCAGTTTTACGTCTCGCTCATACTCAGGATTAACATTTAGTGTCTTTTACTCTCTTTCAAGCAATATGAATTTCAACGCATAACAATGAGATCGAGTTTTTCCGACTAGTTGATACAATATAATAAAATTAATCATTGCATTTTGTAGTTACTCAAAAATTTCTATTAGTCTCACTTAATAGCCTGTTAAAACAATCAATCTGGTTCGTTGATAGAGATCATCTTTCACACGTTGAAACATATTCAATCGGTTTTAATATGGACATCTATAGATTTGTTACTATACAATCGTCTAAAGAATTCTGACAGAACCTAAGCAACTTCATTTTACATGCGTACTTCCGTTTTGGGGATGTATTCATCATATCACTAGTACAATCTTATAGACTTGTATAGGACCTGCATACCAAGCATAGTCATTGAGAATTTTTTTATGTTCTTTCATTCTGCATACCCTCCCATTCCAGGAAGGGAAAAATATTCTTCTGCTAACTATTTGTGCGTACATCACTTAAGTAATTTGCCTTTCATATACTGGAGCAACTGTATGTGAATGTGAGTGTGCGTGTGGGTGTCGGTGTGGGGATGGTTGGGTGTGGGATGTGCGTATGGGTGTAGATGTGGATGAAAAAATAGTACACACCCACACCCACCCACTCCCACACCCCAAATCATCAATTCCATCTTGAACTGTACCAGACTTTTCAATTTTAACAATTTTTGAATCGATTGTTTCCTATTGGTAATATAGTAAAACCTTACCACCAATGTCATCATCATATTCAAATAATTTATCAAAATTTTTTGATTCATCACATTTTTCACATTTTGACAACATACATTTTTCGCTGTTGCTGTTGCAAACTAAAGCTTCACGAAAACTTGCTGTTATGTTTGATGTCTTCAAAATGGAGCTTAATGAACATAATAATAAATCAATATTTGCATGTTTGCATAAACACACATTTTGAGGAATATCAGACGTTGGTAAAACATGTTTTGGACGAAGTAAAGTAAATAAAGTAGAATCGATTTTTGCATTTGGATACTTAAGTTTGACTTGTTCACAGACCTCTCGAACCGTCATGACAAGGTATCGCTTTTGAACTTTAACTTCTGAACCATCTGGAGAGGCAATTATAACAAAATCTTTCTTCCCAGTAGTAACACTATTGATTTCATCTAATTGATAAAATTGAATAACTTTGTTCTTCGCATCTTCATAAATGTCAGTTGATCTTGATTAGATCACCGGCTGAATCACCACTTCATTTTCGATGGCCAATGGTCGAATTATTTCTTTTTTTTTCGTTGGACTAGCTGGAAGGCTGCGTTCTGAACGATGAAGGGGTGTCGGTGTGTACTATTTTTTCATCCACACCCACGCCCACACCCATCCATACACATCCACACCCACAACTGCTCTAGTGATTAGATTAATTATGTATTGTGCAAGTCAGTTCATCTTCTATAAACGCATACAATTTCCACTTTTGTTTCATATTGCTCATAAGAGATATAACGGTCAGTAAATTTGATCTTTTTGTTGCCATAAACAATGTATAGTTTGACTTTTCCATTAAAAATTTTAGCACATTAATTGAATCTTGAAAATATATATTCTGATAGTTTGATTGTTATTGATATTTTAAAGTGCAATTCTGTTTTTCTAATAATCTTTTTGCTTTCTAAAAATCTAGTGTAATATTTTCTTCTTCAATTTCTCAAAAACGAATTGTTTTTGAAAGTTTTAAAATTTTAGTTAAATTACTAGGAAACAATAATAAAAGGTTTTTCTAGAAAAAAATTTGGTGGTAAATCTCTAATTAGAAAATGAAAAGTATATTTTTCAATTTCCTTGAATATTATTTTTTCAAGATGATTCAAATGTACAAATAAAATCATAACCGAACATATAAAATAGATCAATAAATATTTTTATACACTTTTGAATAATCTACATTATATAGGAAGAGATCAAAGAGAAATCATCTTTTGTTGAAAAGTAAAGCTTCTATTTGTCATATATTCATCAGTAAAATATTTACTGTTGATGATAAAAAGAACGTTAGAGTTGCTTTCTATTTATCTTATCATATCCTTTGACTTTAATCGAGATAGAAACTTTAACATCTTTTTTACTGTCTTTACTCACTTTTTTGCATTTGTCCTTAAACCATAGTCATTTTTATAGTCAGTTAGTTAGTCATTCACTGATTTTTAACACATCTTTAGTTTAAATACATTTAAATCAACACCACTACTTAAACGTTTGCTCATATTCTAGAAGACATGCGATCAACAATTCGTTATATGACAACTAAAATGACATCAATGTCATCAATGATCCAATCATCAACCAGACCTGAAGGTGATATTTCCTCTGTCTTTGCCTCTCTCTCTGGTGACGACATGAACAAGCCTTTGGAGCCTCGATTTGCAGATTTGAAAAGAGAAATTATTCAAGATCACACGAAACAAGTTAAAGATAGTTGGTATCGTTTACTCGATGCTCTAAAACGCGAAATTTCTATTATTCGTTCGTCTAGTAAAACCGTTATTCCTCAAGTTAATTTTAATGACATGAAAAATCTTTCATCCGACGTATGCAATGAAATTCGAACTCGTGGTGTGATAGTTGTTCGTGATGTTTTGCCGGATGATTATGCATTAAAACTGAAAATGGATGTTGAAAACTATATTAAACAGAATCCACATACTAAAGCATTTCCGCAGGATAAACCAGTCGTCTACGAATTGTATTGGTCTCCTGCACAGATTCATGCTCGAGCCGATTCTCGAGTTCTCGAAGCATTAACATTCGCCAATTCATTCTGGCATGCATCACCTTCAACTGAGATCTCTTTGAAAGAGAACACAATGTATGTTGATCGTCTACGAATTCGTAAACCTGGTGATGCTCAATTTGCTCTTGGTCCACATGTCGATGGAGGTGGCATTGAACGATGGGAAGATCCAGAATATCGATCATGTTATACACCTATATTTGAAGGTCATTGGGAAAAACATGACTCTTTCGACGCTACTCACCGTGTTCGAGCACAAATGTGTCTTTACAATACTGCGGGTGGTTGTAGTGCCTTTCGCTCTTGGCAAGGTTGGCTTAGTCTTTCCACTGTCAGTCCAGGTGAAGGAGGACTTTTGGTCAATCCACTTTTAAAATTTGCCACACCTTACTGGCTTCTTAGACCTTTCTTTACACAAAGAAGAAAGGATGATGACTGGCAAATCGATACATCGAGCATTTGGCAAGGTGCCACTCCTGGTCGTGGACAAGAAATGAATGATTCGTTACATCCTCATCTAGAATTATCTACTTCGATGGTTTCAATTCCCAAAGTACGTCCAGGTGATATGGTTTTTTGGCATTGTGATACCATTCACGCTGTTGATACTGTTCATCGTGGCCAATCGGATTCAAGCGTTTTCTACATTCCAGCAGCACCTTTATGTCAAGTCAATGTTGAATATCTTACTCGACAACGTGATAATTTTCAACACGGTATTCCACCACCTGACTTTCCTGGTGGACAAGGTGAATCACGTCATGTTGGAAGAGCAAACCCTGAAAATGTCAAAACAGTCGAGGGTAGACGTGCCATGGGTCTTCAATCGTTCGAAATCAAACCAAATATGACATCAGGCGAAAAGGAAATTGTTTTAAAAGCAAACAATATTTTGAACTTGTGAATTTTGTAGAAATTAAAATGATATTCATTATACAATAAATAATCGATAATCTTTAACATCCGGAAAAAAAAGTTGTACTAGTCAAACTAACAATACTATGGATTATTTATACTTCTAAATCTATTCTTCTACTTTGAAATCGTCTTTTATCTTTGTAGAAGGTGCCTATAGAATACAAGTGTTACCGTGTAAAATTCTTGAAATAGCTTGTTCCAAACCTTAAGTCTATTTTTTGAATAATATATATTTTATTCGAAACCAAATTGCGAAATATTCTCGCATGTATTCGTGTCACGATGTAGAGAAATAATTTTTACGAATCTTGAAAAAGAGGCAGAAGAACAACAAGAGAAAAACATTGTCATTTTTCTAGTTGTAAATATAATAACAAAAAGTAAAAAGTCAATCTAATCAAGAAGAAGTTATTTCGATATTTAATAATCTTCAGAAAGTATTTTCATGCCTAAATTAAATTATAGTTGAGTTCGATAATTACAAAAGCATAGATTTGGGAGAAAATAGCTGGCAAAAAATCTGGTAAGATTAAAATGTACTTTATATTTAGTTTTACTTTACAGTAAGAAACTCATGTACATTTGGACTAACGACAGCAAAGTCACGACCACTTTCACTAATGCTTATACTATTCAATATTTTACTTCATAAATCTATTTCTACTAATAAATTGGAATTGTCTACTTAGAAAGCGCATTCTTTTTTCGTTTCGATTTTATTTTTGAGCAATCACTCTCTGTCGATGTGGGTTTTTATTTGCTGTTCCGAATTTAGATTAAAAAATGGTAATAATAATATTCTTAAAATTTGTAATATTAAGAGAGTGCTGTCACAATTAATATCAGTACTGAACGTTTACATTGAATTTTATTCGATGTAGTCTATTTTTCATTGATCGTGATAACAACGATCGCTTCATGTCTTTAGTTCTAATAAAAGCGATTTCATTTTTTTCACTATTCAAGCGTGAGTATTGACAATATACAAAGTGACAAAATGAGAATAGCATAGAATTATTTCTACTCTTAATAAATGAACATTAACTATAAATTAATTTAATTGGTTTGTTATCAATGTTCTATTTGACTATATTTTTTAAAATTATCAACAAAAGATCGAACATCTTCTAAAAAAAATAATAACAATGTAAATTTGTCTGTTAAATATTTGTTTTGTTTGATTCAGTCCTTCTTTTTTTATTCAAGTATATCGAAATATGATGTTAATTTGTCTTCTCAATAATTCGATATTATGTATCATGTACTTTCTATCTCTAATAATAATTTCTTTTTCTTTATTGATCGACCATGGCGAATGTTAATGAATCTTGTTTTTCTCTCCTCATTGATGATGATATATTTATTGACGATGTCGAATAAAAATGATCATTTTTAGATAACCAATGGCTCAATTACAAGTAACTGTTATTGAAGGACGAAATTTAAAAAAGAAAGACTTATTTAGTGAAAGTGATCCTTTTGTTAGAATTTATCTTGACGATAAAAAACAAAAACAAAAAACAAAAGCAAAACAAAATACAAAAAATCCTCAATGGAATGAAACTTTTGTTTTGTACGAGTGTCTTTTTTTTGTATTTTTCATTTTAATTAAATATTTTATTTGTTTAGTAATCATTTAGAAGGACAGGATATTCTTCATGTTGATGTTTATGATGAAGATACAATAATTGATGATAAAATTGGTTCAATACGAATTGATTTAAGAGATTTATATCACAAAGGTATTTGCGTATTAAATGAAATATTTCTTGATTTAAATCTTTTTTTTTCTTTTAAATAGGTCATATTGATAATTGGTATAATGTTCCATCTAAATTTGGTAGATCATCTAATGGTGAAATTCATCTTATACTTGATTATCAAAGACTTAAAATATAATTTTTTATAAGTAAAAAATATATACCTTTTTTTATAATATTCTGAAAATTTCTTTTTTTTTGTATATTTTTATTTTGCATGAAACCAACAGAAACTATATGAAGTTACTGTTGAATTTTATCCAAAATAGATCATTAACATCAATTAAAATATTAACAATTTTTCCTTGCTTCTGTTGATTCATCTTTTCATTGAAATAACACCCGCACCCACCCTCGTACAACTCTTTTTTGAACAAGTTTTAATTGTTTAATTTTGATCATTTGTATAAATACAAATAGATTTTCCTTTTATTCTTGCTCTATCAGTTCTACTTGATCTATGAACATATGATTTCTAATCATTTTAAATTAAACAAATAAATTTATTCTAAAATTAAAAAAAATGTAATCTGAGATGGTGCAGTAAGAATAACAAGATCAACTTGTGGAATATCAAGACTACATGCTGATACATCAGTTATTATTAACCCTTTGAGGACGGGCGTGGTATTTATACCACCTGGAGTATTTATCAAAATTCGGGAATGATATATATTTCAAATCAATCAGAAGTGACTGGAAATAGCCTGTAGAGTAATTTTTCTGTATTGATACAGTAAATTATCAATATTTCGAAAGTGTCGGAAATATCGACACAGTGTATTTAGTAGTTTATAACATTACATAATGGACTTTTCCCTTGCTTTATCATATATTCTAATACGTCTACCTTGATATTTTTCCTATTTTCCTATATACATATATACACAAGGCCTTCATATCCTCCTATCCGTCGTCATTTTTGTTCTTTTCTTCTTCAAATACACAAGATATTGGAATAAAGAATGTAATGTGGGGTTATGCATAATTGATTGTTTTCAAGCTTATCTTACCCTAAAATACTTTTGATAATGATTTCTCATTGAATAAACATCTGTTTTCAATCTAATAAAAATGTAGGTGAAGTTAGCACCAGATTCGAGTAAATCCTGCCAAAATTCGCCCAAGAACATGTTTCAACTGTCCCATGGTGTGTTCCAAGTACAACTCGATGAGCTCTATCGAATGATGTATTCCAATTCCCAATAGCTCAAACACAGTCCAAGAAAATCAGATAATACTAGATTTTCACCATGGGCGATTTTGCATCCATCTACTAAAACCTGCCAAGATTTGCCCAGGGGCATATTTCAAGTGTTCCATTGGTGTTCCAAGTACAACATGACACGCTCTATCGAATGGCGTGTTCAGATTTTCCATAACTCAAACAGAGTCTCAGAAGATTTGATAATACTAGTGTATCACCACAAAAATTCTGGATTTTATGAAGTAAAACCTGCCAAGATTCGCCCAGGAGGATGTTCTAAGTGTTTCATTCGTGTTCCAAGTATAACCCGATGAGCTCTATCAAATGATGTATGAGTGAAGTGAATCAGAGTTGGGCACTTGAATAGAATATCTCGTCAGAATGTTTGCTAGTGAGATAAGTTTAACTACATCGAAAGACTATTTGATGGATGATTTATGGGCGTATACACATACTCGCTAAATTGACTGATATATGTTCTTTTTAATTTGTTCAACTTCACTGGATTAATGAAGTGAAGTGACTCTGTGAATTTACTAACTAACCAGAAAACACGTTAAAATCAGTTGCACTATATGACTTCTATTTTCATACAACCATGACTAGTTGAAATCGAAGATTTACTGCATATGATAGAAAAAAGAAAATTAGAATAGATTCCACAACGAATTTTCCCCTGCAACAAAACAATTCATTGACCTATTTGGTTGGCTTCCACAATATAAAAGACTTCGGTAAGGCAGTTCAGTCTATTGAAAACATGCATACAACATTTGATAGGGCAAATCAAGTTGTATCTAGGACACAAATGGAACATCTGAAACGTGCTTCTAAACGAATTTCGGCTAATTTTACAATATAAGTACCATCGCTACATACTATAGGACACATCTTTTAATGTTTTTTCGCGCATTGTCTATAGTATAGTTTGTGGTTTCGACCATCGCAATCTACGAAAGCATGGAGCCTCTTAAACGCTCCTTTGAAAACGAATGGAACATCTACAAACATCTTCCTTGACAGATATTAGCTGATTTTACTGTATCAGCAACAAAGTCATGTATAATGAGGTCCATGTTTGGGATTTCTGCGTACACGGTTCGCGGTATTAAGGGGCTCAATGCACCATCGTATACAAATGTGTGAGCCCTCCTAAGCATATAGATAGAACATCTTGAACATGGTGCTCGAAGAATCTTGGCAGTTTCACCATATAGACTCCAAGTATTCTCTACTGATATAGAAGTATTTCTGAATTTTCTCGGAGTGGTTCGAGCTATCGCAAAACTGGTTATACTATTCGTTTGAGGTCATCCAGTGTTACTTCTAAAACAAACAAACCATCTGGAATATCTTCATCGCAAAACTTTGCCCGGTTTCATGTTCCAAAACTAAACATTCCTGCACTGACGCAATAGTATTTTTGAATTTTCAGAAACTTAGCTTGAGCTACAGAAAATGTGAATGCGCCATTGCCAAGAACTCATCGCTTTGTACTTGTACCATAAGTGGAACAACTGGGACATCATTCTGGAAGAATTTTGACTGCTCTTACTGTCTACAATCATCGATTCCTGCGTTCACAAGCTAGAAATTTTGAGTTCTCGGCAGCGCAATTCGATCTACAGAAATTTCAAATGCATTATGAGATAGAACTCATTGAGTTGCACTTGGAACATAAGTTGGACAACTGGAACAACATCCTGGAAGAATCTCGCCTCCTTTTACTGTCCACAATCATCGATGTCTTCGCAAACACACTAGTATGTTTAGACTTTTTCAGCCTAGTTTGAGCTATCGAGTATATGATTATACCTTTGAACAGAGCTCATCGAGTAGTACTCGGAATCTGATTGAGCCATGTGGAACCTATTCCTGGAAGGGTGTTGGCCGTTTTCACTATCCCGAACCAAAGATTTCCTCTGCTGACACACCAGCATTTTCGCATTTTCTCAGACGCATTTTGATATAGAGGGTATCGAAACACACCATTCGATAAAACTCTTCGAGTTGTAATTGTAACACCAATGGAACATTTGAAACACGCTCATTGACGAATCTTGGCAGGTTTTACCGTAGAGAATACCAAATTCTTGCATTGATCCAGCAATATTTTTAAATTTTCTGCGACACGGTTCCAGCTATGGAAAATCTGAATATATCAATCGATAGAGCTCATCAAGTTGTACTTGGAATACTAATGGAACATTTGGAACATGCTCCTAAGCGAATCTTGACAGGTTTTACTATAGAGAATCCTGTATTCTTGGTTTGATGCACGAATATTTTTGAATTTTTTTCAATACGGTTTGAGCTGCGGAAAATCTGAATATATAATTCGATAGAGATCATCGAGTTGTACTTGGAACACACCATGGAACATTTGGAACATGCTCCTGGGCAAATCTTGGCAGGTTTTACTGCATAAAATCCAGGATTTTTGTGGTGATACACTAGTATTATCAAATTTTCTCAGACTTAGTTTGAGTTATGGAAAATCTGAACACGCCATTCGATAGAGCGCGTCAAGGCGTACTTGGAACGCCAATGAAACACATGGAACATGCTCCTAAGCGAATCTTGGCAGGTTTTAGTAGATGGATGCAAAATCGCCCATGGTGAAAATCTAATATTTTCTGGTTTTCTTGGACTGTGTTTGAGCTATCGGGAATTGGAATACACCATTCGATAGAGCTCATCGAGTTGTACTTGGAACACACCATGGGACAGTTGGAACATGTCCCGGAGCGAATCTTGGCAGGATTTACTCGAATCTGGTGCTAACTTCACCTGCGTTATTTTATTTTCTTTAAATAATATATTATTCTTCTAATATTCGATTGTTAAAAATTTATTATTAATTGAATTTGATTTATTTTGTTTTTCATAGAATTATAAATACCAATGACTGAAATGTTTTACAAACAAATATGTTAATATCGAATTAATGAAAATATGTTTTTCATAGATTATTTTTATTGTAATTCATCCTGATATTTCATTCTAAAATTCTCATGATTAGTACAATAAACGAAAATGTTTTATTTTATTTTATCCTATAGTTTTTGTGTTAACTGGAGTTGATTATAATCTTAAATAAGTTTTCAATAAATTTGTTAAGCTAAAAAACAATTTTTTTTTATTTGAAAAGTGAATATTGAAATGAATATCTATGAATGTATATTTTCGTTTAAACTTACAGAAATTATTGATACACGTTGTCATTTATTGTTCTTATTAATAGAATCATTATTTAAATGTGAAACAAACTAAAAATTCAATGACAATATTTGTTTAACTAATTCCATTGAAATAAGATACTCACCTTTTTTTGTGTACTCAAAAAGCGAAATACACTCTAGAATCCCCCAGTGTGTCCGGCTGTCCGTTTACACGATAACTTTTGAAAGGAGAGTCCGATCACGATGAAATTTTCTACACAGTTTAGTCTCAACAGTATCTCGGTCGAGAGAAGAAGATGAGAATGATTGGCCGAATCATTGCTGAGTTATTGGAAAAATAGTCATTTTTCCCTATGCTTCACTATGAGAAGATCGACCTATCTCCGCTTTCGTAAAAAAAATTTCCTATCATAGTCAAATAAAACCCTAATTATTATATACCATTCGATAGAGAATTTCACAAGCTACAAAATCGGATATAAGACATAAGGAAATAAGAAAGCTAACTGACCTATTGCACAGATAATTAAACGGAATTCGGTTCTATTTTTGTCCACGCTCTAATTGATCCATAATTCGAGCTCTATCTTCCAATCACAGAGATGATACTTCGAGGTTTTCTGGGGTGGAGAACTCGAATCTGTGTTCCATTCGCCTCGAAATCCCGTTGGTTGATCAGTAACCAATAGAAATCAAGTTATAGGAAACAACGACTTTCTTAGGGTAAGTCAAGGCGAAGAGTTCAAATCG